ATAAGCTGGTTGGTGGGTGTGATTAGTACTTAAAAGTGCATTTTTATCATAGTTTTATATCATCATTTTGCACTTGAAGTATCAATAACTCCTTAACTAAAGCATGTTTTATAATAATATATCTAATAATATAAGATACCTTTAATTTGTGGTAAATGTTCATTTTAAATGCAGGCCTATCACATTAATGAAAGAAATGATTGATGACTTTAAGAACTTAAATTGCAAGGGAAAAAAGATGACCAAAATTAGAAAAGAGATGTCATTGTAATCCAAACCAGAACACTGTTCAGTAATTGGGTCATATCTGGAGCTATAGATCTCAGATTTAGGTCTACTTTATATGGATGGAAAGTTAAGACATAGGCCGACAACTTTTATATGGAGCCCAAGATCTAAAAATGTCATTTCAAGTCCAAATTGTAGCAACAACAAAGAAGCCCGAATCTGTCCTCCAGCCTGAGCACTATTCAGTATTTAGGCCATATCTGGAGTTCTAGAAGTCCAAATGAGCTGAATGTTTTACACAAGAAATATGAGATAATTGCCTACAACTTTCATGTTTTTGAGTGGCTCCAATTTTAACATTATCAATGACGTTTTGGGTAGACAAGAGAAGATAAGGATTGTCACCAAGTCAAGAGTTGGCCACCCACTCATCAATTAGTCATCAAATCAATATGTTCTTATTTTGTTTATTTTTTTTTCTTTCATTATGTCTAGCTAAGTTTATTATGTCAAGGTGAAAAGGTTACACTAATGGTGTAAGAATAAGTATAGTGTAAACTTAATATGGACTTTAATGTTTGATACTAACATGTTTTGTATTTGTTATCTTGTTCACTCTTTAATACTTTGCTTGTTAAATGAGTAATCTTGATTTATGTTGTATAACACTTGGTACAACAAATGCTTGACACTTTCATAGTCTTGATTTATGTTGTATAACACTTGGTACAACAAATGCTTGGCACTTTCATAGCTCATACTGTATGGTATAACCGACACCTGAGCTATGAAAGGAACTTGATTTGTTGTTAACATAAGTTATAATCATGAATGCTTGACAAAATTTACAAGTATTAGCATTAATTGAATAAGATGACTAATGTAATCATGTTAACAATCTATAATTTGATTGGAACCTCCTTTGTGTGTGGTTTCCAATTGAATAATAAGAGTTTATACTATACTTGTTTGACATACCATTAGTGGAACCTCTAACCTTGACATTTGTTATTATCATTGTTTAATTGTTATATTAATATTCCATCTCAAAGTTCTCATCTTCTTCTTCTTCTTCTTCTCCTTCTTTTTCTTTATTATTTTTATTTTTATTATTATTATTAGTATTATTATTATTATTATTACTACTACTACTACTACTACTACTACTACTACTACTACTACTACTATGTTGTTGTTGTTGTTGTTGTTGTTGTTGTTGTTGTTGTTGTTGTTGTTGTTGTTGTTGTTGTTATTATTATTATTATTATTGTTGTTGTTGTTGTTGTTGTTATTGTTATTGATGTTGTATTATTGCTATTTATAATTTATACAATTAACCTCCCTGTGGTTCGACCTCGGTCTTGCCGGGTTATTTATTACTTCGACACTCCTGCACTTGGGAGAAGACATCAATCTTTTTATCGTGTCATTTGTAACACCTATAATGACTTAAATTATAGTGTGAATACAATCAAATTAAAACTTTTTTTCTTTTTCATTAAAAGATAAAGCTAAAACATGGCTATATAATTTGAGGTCAGGATCCATCATGCTTTGGATAAAATGCAACAATGATTTTTAAGAAAGTTTTTTTTATCTCACATAGCAAACTCTTTCAAAAGACAAATCACCACTTTCACTCAAAACCAGGAGAAATATTTTACCAATGTTAGAATAGGTATCGAGAGTTGCTTAATATTTGCCCTCATTATAGTTTTGAAATATAGAGATTGGCTTCACATTTTTATGAAGGGTTAACACCTAGAGATAGGTAAATGATTGAATTGATGTGCAATGAAACTTCTGAAGATAAAGACCTTAATGAAGTGATGAAGTACCTGGACTTGCTAGCTGAAAATGTTCAAAATTACAACACTTGAAAATAAAGACCCTAATAAAGCAATGGAGTACCTAGACTTGTTAGCTGAAAATGCTCAAAATTAGAACACTACAGGTATTTATGAGGCACTTGGGTAAAACTTAATTACATACATCTAGTAAAGGTATGTATAACTTTAAGGAAGATCATGATCTCTAAGCCAAGTTTTTTTGTTGTTATTGTTGTTGTTGTTGTATAGTTAACCTCCTTGTGATTTGACCCTGGTCTTGCCGGGTTATTTATTATTTTGACACTCCTACACTTGGAAAAAAGACATCAATATTTTGATTGTATCATTTATTCTATTTAAAAGAAAGAAAATGAAAAAAGTTTCGATAAAGGTAATGCCTAAAGTGGGTTTTTTCTCCTCTTAGATTAAAGTATAGATGATTTGGGGTCTCCTTATAGGAACAATTGTTTAGAAATCACAAAAAATCAAGAAGCATGAACAACTAGGGTTATAAAGAAAAATTCTTTTCATTCCCACTGTAAATGCAAAACATCTTATGTCATCACATATCTCAAGAAGTTTACTCAATTACTACATCAAAAGCCAATCATCATTTTATTTCTCAAAGAACATCTCCTCTCTGTAAAGATGAGCAACCTCGACTTGAGGATCCCAAATGACACACAAGGTTTTATGAAGATGGTAAAAAGACTTTCATCTACTACTAATAAAGACTCTTAAAATCTTTATGTATAATACATAAATATATTGAAGGGCTATTAATAGATCAATGTTTTTTTGTTTTTTACCTAGATCTTTTTTTTCTAAGAAATGACTAAAGATAGGGTGATAACCCCACTTTTTTAGGCTTAACCAAGTATTGGGCGTAGGTATATGTGAGTCTAACGAGTTGTCAGATCTACTATCCCTAGACTCAACCAAGTGCTAAGCCCATAGTTTTTTTGACTCCATGAATTCTTAGGCTTTATGATTGGACTATAAGTTAAAGACATTTAACTCCTTGACAATTCAAAAGATATTTTACTCCTTAACAAGTTAAAGATATTTTACTTATATTTTTTCCCATTCCATTAGTGAGGGCAAAAAGACAAGCCATATAGGCCATAAAAAGGGCCATAAAAATCCTTTAAAACGGTTTGATTTTTTCTTCAACTCCTTATAGATATCCATTCTTATAATTCTTCTTTAAAATATGATTGAATTTTCTCTTAAAGATATTTACTTAAACATATAAGAGTTCAAATTTATCAAATATGATCTTTTACAGGGATCAAGAACTAGCCACCAACTGCTTTGGTAAATTAAATTGTTAGAACCAAGAAATTAACCACTTATTCAAAATATAAATCTTGGCCCACAATCTCAAGAGAAAGTTTTGTAGCTCATAAAAAGTGTTAATGAATATTTTGATGATGAAAAAAAGGTCAATTTAAAAAAAAAATTGTAGTTAGAAAATAAATTAAAAAAAAAGACTAGATTTAACAAAAAAAAACTAACCCAATTTGAATATTGGTATAGAAAACTTCAATTTACTCCCTAAAGTTGTACTTTATTTATTATTTGATAAAAAAATAAAAGATATTTCATTTGCCATAAATTCCAATGTGTCATCTATTTAGACTAAGAATATTGGAGCAACTCTTTTTAAAAAAATAATTAGTCATGTGCTCATAGGCTTTCTTTTAGATCTAAGAATGCTTGATTTTTTTTTATTTTCTATTAATTTTTTAATTTAAATTTTAATTAAAAGCATCTCTCTCCCTTTCTTTTCATTAATTATTTTAATTTACATTTTAATTAATAGTTTTTTTTTAAAAAAAGTTATTTAGTTCACCCTTTTAAACAATAAATAATATTTTAATTTCTTTCTTTAATTTTATAATACATCAAAGAGATTATTGTAATGTACCTTTAATTTTTTTCCTTTTATATTTTATATAAATAAATTATATTTGCTTGATTAATTTATAAAAATAAACTTAGCAACTAGAATTAACCTCTAACATAATATTAATAAAAATGTTAAATTAAGAAGGAATGTTGTGCTTAAATATTTTTGTATGCATTTATTTTTTAATTAGTGTTAACAATTCCTTTTCAGTTTATATTTTTTTATTTTTTGAAAACATAAACAACTCTTTTTAATTCTTAATTAAAAAACCATAATATTCACAAATACATTTTATAATATTGATACCATTTTCTCTTTCATTAAAAAATAATTTAAAATTCTAATTGCAGGAGCATGGGTAATAGAACTGAAATATTCTTATAATGTATTTTTTAAAGGTTATTTATCATACTTTCATGAAAAGACGTGGTAATAGAACTGAAATTCTAATTAAAGCTTATTTGTAACAGTGATATAATTACTTTTTAAAAACAAAAAGATATTTTTAATTTCCGTTTTCTTATGGCGTGGTATAACCATACATGCATATAATTGTTTAATGGTGCTAAGAACATTTTCCAAGAAAACAAATCCACTACAAAACCCCCCAGCTTCATTCCGTTTTCGGTTCAATATATTATCCAAATGCTCATTAATGTTCTTTGAAAAACAAATTCAACTCAATTCTAACTTTTAGGCTATATATAGTTATTCGTGAATTAATTTAGTTGGAATTTAAAGACTCGAACAGTTTTAAAGAACACAAAAATAATTTATCAAATTAAAAATAAGAAAGCGCGGATTGCATGACTTTTGCCATAAAACCAGACCACAGAATACGTACATAATAATAATAATAATAATAATAATAATGCGAAAAGAAGAAGATTGATTTGATACCAGAGCTAAAACAGCAACTTCAACTCCATTTCTTGTGCAGTCCAACATCCAACCAAAACAGATTCAAATGTGAAAAGTAGAAAAGAAAAGAAAAAAAAAAAACATTGAAGAGAAGTAACAGTGGCTATAGCCCCTTTGATTTTCTTTCACTATATATATAAGTAGCATCGGCGTATCGGCATTAGGAATGGTTCTGGTGGACAAGCTCGACGTAAACCAAAAGTCATCGTTTTGGCTTTAATGCTGCTGATGCAGTGGGTCCCGGACACCAGCTGCCAGTACTCTCTGCTGTTCCATCTGCTCGGAAATTAACGATACAAGTCATAGTTATAATAATGTTTGTGCTGGTCTCCATCAGTGTACAAGACAGACACTGCAAATTGAGAAACGAAAAGATCTATAAAGTCGTGGAAATGTTAGCAGTGTACTTGGAACAGTTCGTGCAACTTGTTCTTGAGGTAGCAGTACTCGTGCTCCAGCAACTCCAAAGCTCGCAAGCACCTGAATTAACAAACTCAAAACATCTCTGGTTAGCTACAATCTCTCTCTCTCTCTAGGTCACATGTGTGCTTGCACTTTAGGGGAGCAGGTAAGGAAAAAGAAATGAGCACGAATAAAGAGAGGAAATTGGAGGGGAGGGGGGGGCCTACCCAGCACGGTTGTTTTGTTCAGAAGCGGCGCGAAAGGCAACGCACACATTTCTGACTCTTTTGGCACCAATACTGGAGCTGCTTCCCATGAACTGATTCAAATGGATTCCCATTTTCTTGTAGTCAGAGAACTCTCTATCCAACCTGCAATTGCTGTGCCCATCAGTTTTGCACTACACACCCCACTAAAGCAAAGCCCATTGGAGCAAGAAAGAAGAAAGTGAGTAGCAGGAGAGGGGAGGAGGATATCATTACAAGAGGGCCCTCAGATTACGTAGAAGTTTCTCGGACTCATGGAAGTAGATGTTGACAACTTCAGATACGAAATTTGGGGAGCTTTCATCTTGAAGCTGCTGGAGCTGCAAGAATTGCTCATCTAGCACTCCCTAACACAGCAAACCCAAAATTGGTGTCATGAGCTCGTAGAATGAGAACAAATTTTAAGGGAAATTTGTAAGAAACACGGAAAGGTGATGACACACACACACAGAGGTTAATTACCTGGTGGAATAGTATTGCCAGCAAACGGCTCATATCGGCTCGTAACCGATCCACACCCCACCCAAGCATCCACAGAGGAAGACCCGTTTTGGCTACTTACTTGGTTGATCCCAAAAGGCGCTGAAATTCTTTATGGCTTGGAGTAATTCCTAGAACACAGTTTGCATTCAAATACGTGCAGGGGTTTAGCTAGGGTTTTATCAGTTTTTTGTCTATTTTGAGGGCCTGAAGTTTGGATGACATCTATTTAAAGGGTGCTGCTGCCTTGGACCCCAGCACATGCTACAGTAAAATAGTTCCTAATAATATACATTTGCTGATGGTAAATCAATTAATTAATTATTTATCAAATAGAATATGTTCTCAAACCGAGGCGAAGGGCGCATGTATAAAAATATTAACTACTCCTAAGACATGCATACCAAGTGTTAAAAGAAAAGGATATTCATCTTTATTCAATGTTTACGCTTTTCCGATCTCTGTTTCTTTCTCCATGAAATTGTTTTGTGCGTTATCAAGTACTACTACTTGGATGGATTAAGATTGTTTCATGTTTCTTTCTTTCAATTTTGTTGCATGTTCTTACATATCTAAACCAAAGAATTTAAAGTGAATTCACTATGGATACGTTAAAGATGACGAAACTTTTGACTCTAATCGTAGAACTTTTTCATTGTTTTACTTTAAAAATTAAATTAAAAAGCAAAGGTAAGATTAAGAAGCTGCATGATCATGCCATGAATATTTGAATTGTGAAGTAAGTAATGTTTCCCTTCCAAATCATAAAGTAATTAATTTTAACTGCTTTTTAAAAAAAAAATCATTTTTATTAAGAATAAATCTTTTTGGTAATTATCCAGAAAGTTGTTTTCTTAAAAAACAACAATATTCTAAAGAAGTTCAGACCTTTGAAAATATTGTGTAACTTGAACATGACTAATTAGATATCATGATTTTTCCAATTTCGACATTGATTAATTAATTAAATTCCAATCTCAATTTCCCCTCCAGACCAAAAGGAGCTTGAACTTTTGAAGCCCTTCTTGGTGGTGGCATGAACTTATCTCAGGCATGGAAAGTGGAGGCACGTGGCACAAGTGCCTGTGTGGCAGAAATATATTTCTATTAGTATTATTATATGGAGAGGAGGAGGAGGAGGGAGGGAGGGCGTGCGGTGTGGTCCTTATCGAGGTGAATGCGGGGTATCAACCGGACCATCCCCTACAAACTACAGTTATGGGGAGGTGGTGACCTGTTGCTCCCGTTCCCAGTTGCTTCGCGTGCTGCCTGTTATGGCAGGCTAGGGCGGCGTTCCGCCCAACTTCTTGCCCGACAACTGCCTGCAGCCGGTTGCTTGTCAGTCACCTCAGCACACACACTACTCTAAGAGACTTGAACTAAACAAAAAATAGAAATAAAATATTGAAGAAGCAGAGAAAACTATTTACAACTTTTTTGTACATGTTGCCAAAATGACCCTATTACTCTTGGGCTAACTTCTGACCACCATTCACTTTTTCTCTGGCTTTTCTTTTCTTTCTCGAGAAAAATGTTGAGTGCAGAAAAAAGGAGCCCAAAAAACAAGGCTTTAGCTGTGGTGTGCAGTACAGGTAGGCTTTCTAGATGCTAGTTATGACTCAACTTAAAAATGATTTTTTTTCTAAAATTATTATATTCAATTAAAAATATTAATAAAATAGTATAGTTAAAAAAGTTTGATAAAGCAGTATAATTTATATATATTGCAATTAAAAAATATAATTTTTATAGCTTTTTATTATCAACATAATAATATCATTTAAAAAATATTAAATAGAAAGAAGAAATGAGAAAGAAAAAAAATTATAAATTCATAAAAATTCTAATTATAACACCACCAATATTATAAAAAAAATTTCAATAAAAAAAATTAAACAATACCAATAAAAGTTATAATCAATTACTTAAGTAAGCAACACTTGTTATTTAAAGAAAGGGAGTATTTTACTTGTTTTTTACAATAAATATAACTTATTTAAGCTGTTGTTACTGGTTTTTTGTGGTATTAATTTATTTATTTTATTGAGATTTTTTTATGATATTTTTAATAATATAATAAAAATTTTAATTATTTCTAATATTTTTTTCTTTCTAATTTCTCTTTCTCCTTTTCATTTAATATTTTTTAAATGATGATGCTATTCTAAATAGATGATAAGTATAAACCATGCGACTTCAACCATTTTTTTTCCAAACTATTTCATCAATTTTTTCAAAAGAAAATTAGCCTCTGAGAAATTTGGGTCTGGCTTGCAAGATTTTGTCTTTGTTAATGTTATTATGACTCATATGATAACAATGATGTTCACTTTTCAAAAGGGGAAGTGATGGTTAATTGGACACAAACGTCAGGGTATGGTTTGCTAGCACAAAAATAGAGGTGTCTCTCTAATTGCTCCATCAAGTAATTCGGATTCATATGATTTAAATTTTTTTATTTCTATGGTTAAGAATCCATCGGCAAGCTTGAATATATAATGGGAATTATTCATTCTTCTTTTATTTTAAATTATTTAATTATGTACCCTTATAAACTTTATAGTTCGTCCCTCCTAATATTTACATTCATCCACACAAAATAATTACAGTTTACTCCCACTTTTTTAAATGTCAAGTTA